CGCATGTGGGATCCGAACCCTCGGGCGGGAGCGCCGCCGCGCTTCCCAAGCGGCGCACTTATCCAGTGCGCCACCGGGCCGGCCCGAAAGAATAGTCTTTTCAACAAAAGGTGCTGGGACAACTGGATTCACATGAAAAAGAATGAAGGTGGACGCATGCCTGACACCATATACAAAATAATCAACTCAAAATGGTCATAAACCTAAAAGTAAAACCTAAAACTAAAAAACTCTTAAAAGAAAACAAGGGGTAAATCTTTGTGACCTTAGGTTACAACAAAAAGACAAACAAAAGAAAAAAAAAAAAAAAAGAGAAGCTTGACTACATAAAAATGAAAACCTTTTGTGCTTCAAAGAATATCGCTAACAAGTGAAAAGATAACCCACAGAATAGAAGAAGAAAATATTTACAAGTCTTATATAGGGTACCTGAAAAAGTTTGTGGAAAAATAGAATTAAATGAACCTTTTGATTATAAGGGCCTAAAAACAAACAAACAAAAAACAACTAGTGAGGCCCTGAGTATATATTTCCCTCTGAGAGTTTGTTGCAATTTTATTTGCAGCCATACACATTTTAAAATATTCCATAAATATTAGAAAGTAATGCACACTATCTCTGTGGGAGATACTCTGTGGGAGTAAACATTTTTTATCTATGACTGTAAATCAAATTTGTCGATTTTATTATCCAAACCTTCTATAAACTTTTTTTTTTTTGTCCTTTTTGAGATTGGCTGCACTGCGCTTAGCCAGTGAGCGCTGTGAGCGAACCAGTCATCCCTATATAGGATCCTAACCCGGGGCGGGAGCACTACTGCGCTCCCAGCACCGCACTCTCCCGAGTGCACCACGGGCTCGGCCCAAACCTTCTATAAACTTTTTTTTTTTTTCCTTTTTGTCTTTTTTACTGACCAGCAACGGGATTGCAACCCTCGGTGTTGCACCCGCACCATGTTCAGCCAGTGAGCGGGAACCGGTCTCCACATGGGATCAGAACCCTTGGCGGGAGTGCCGCCACGCTCCCAAGTGGCGCACTCTCCAGTGCGCCACCGGGCCGGCCCTCTATAAACTTTTTTTTTTCCTTTTTGTCTTTTTTTGTGTCCAGCAACGGATTGCAACCCTCAGTGTCGCGCCCGTACCGGACCGGGACCGGCAACGGGATCGTAACCCTCGGTGCTGCGCCCGCTCCTCGCTCAGCCAGTGAGCGGGAACCAGTCTGTATGTGGGATCCGAACCCTCGACGGGAGCGCCACTGCGCTCCCAAGCGGCGCACTGTAGCAGTGCACCACTGGGCTGGCCCTCTATAAACTTTTTAACACTACAAAATAACATATGAATTGCTAAAAAGATAAGGGATTATTTATACAGTAAACAATTTTCATCATCCCACTAAAATTATTGTGTACATCAAAAGGCTTTTAATGGGCCGGCCCGGTGACGCACGGCTACAGTGCGCCGCTTGGGAGTATGGCGGCGCTCCCGCCGAGGGTTCGGATCCCACATACGGACCAGCTGCTCACTGGCTGAGCGAGGTGCGGGTGCAACACCGAGGGTTGCGATCTCGTTGCCGGTCCCGGTCCAGAACGGGCACGACACTGAGGTTTGTGATCCGTTGCTGGTCACGAAAAAAGACAAAAAAAGGAAAAAAAAAAAAAAAGGCTTTTATTATAAGCAAATGTATACATTTTTAGTAATTCATCTCTGAAAATAATTTTCTAAATATGTCTTTAAGAAACAAACCTCAGTTTTGGATGAACAGACAGTCCAACTATAACTTTTTCTGTCCATGATAATACACATTTCAGATTAATTATGGGAACAGTGTTTCTTCTCAGTGCAAACAGTGTAATATTGAGTAAATGAGTGTTGCCCTGTTTTTCTTGCATAACAATTCTAGAGTTTCTTGCCACTGTGAGTGCTCCGGTGTAAGTGATAACCTATGGCTGCAGGCTTTACCACACTCATTACTCTGTTAGGATTTCATTTATTTTTTTTCTTTTTTTTTTTTTCCTTTTTGTCTTTTTTCGTGACCGGCAACGGATCGCAACCCTCAGTGTCGCACCCATACCGGACCAGGACCGGCCACGGGATCGCAACCCTCGGCGTTGCTCCTGCCCCTTGCTCAGCCAGTGAGCGGCTGGTCTGTATATGGGATCCGAACCCTCGGCGGGAGCGCCACCGCGCTTCCCAAGCGGCGCACTATAGCAGTGCGTCACCGGGCCGGCCCAGGATTTCATTTCTGAAATGAGTTCTCTGATGTCTAATTAAAGATGTATTATGACAAAAAACATCTCCACATTTATTATACTGATATGGTTTCTTTCCCTTATGTGTTTGCTTATGTTTAGTAAGGGCTGAGCTTAAGCTGAAAGATTTCCCACATTCATTACATTGGTAGGGTTTCTCTCCGGTATGAGTCCTCTGATGTCGTATTAGTGATGCTCTATAGCAAAATAGTTTCTGACATTCATTACATCGATAGGGTTTCTCACCACTATGAATTTTTAAGTGTTCAGTAAGATGTGTACTTCGGCTGAAGGTTTTTCCACATTCTTTACAAACATAGGGTTTCTCCCCAGTATGAATTCTCTGGTGTTCAGTAAGGTGTGCACTCCGATTGAAGGCCTTTCCACATTCATTACACTCATAGGGTTTCTCTCCAGTATGAATTCTCTGATGTTGAATAAAGGCTGGGGTATGGCTGAACGCTTTCCCACATTCATTACATTCATAAGGTTTCTCTCCGGTGTGAGTTCTTTGATGCCGGATTAGTGATGTGCTGTGGCAAAAAATTTTCCAACATTCTTTACACTGGTAGGATTTCTCTCCAGAATGAACTCCTTGATGTTCAATAAGATGTGTGCTGCGGCTGAAGGTCTTCCCACATTCAGTACATTCATATGGTTTCTTTCTGGTATGAATTCTATGATGTTGAGTAAGGGCTGAAATATGGCTGAAAGCTTTTCCACATTCATTACAAGGATAGGGTTTTTCTCCAGTATGAATTCTCTCATGATTTCTAAGGGATGACCTATGACTAAAGGCTTTTTCACATTCATTACACTCATAAGGTTTCTCCCCTGTATGGACTCTCTGATGTTGAATGAGATTAGTGCTCTGACTAAAAGCTTTACCACATTCACTACATTCATAAGGTTTCTCTCCAGTATGTACTCTTTGATGTTGAATAAGATTAGTGTTCCGGCTGAAGGACTTACCACATATTTTACATTTGTAAGGTTTTTCTCCAATATGTGTTTTCTGATGCTGGGTAAGGGATACAATACAAGTGTAGACTTTCCCACATTCAGTACACTGATAAGATTTCTCTTTCATAGAAAGTTTCTCAGATTCCATCACAAATAAACTATGGCTTTACATTTAAGTTGTTTCCAGAATAAGTAAGGTTTGAGATACAAATGTATCCTTTCTTATATGTCATTATTTTTCATTCATGAGTTGCCTTTAAAAAAATCAATTGAAGCAGAATTATGGTGTAAGTTTCTACCATGTATGTCTTAATTCTGAGGACTTTTTCTTACAGAAACTCTCAGTTGGTTAAAAAGGTTTGAGCTCAGGTTAAATATTTTCCCCAAATTATTATATTCCTGATTTTTCTCTTGAATTGCTTTTCCTTGTAATCTCAAACTAGTCATCAAATTCCAGTTTGTCTAATGTGAAGAATTAGGAATCATCACTTAAAAAAATTTCTTAAATCTGGCCGACCCCGTGGCTCACTCAAGAGAGTGTGGCGCTGGGAGTGCAGCAGCACTGGGAGCGCCGAGGCCACGGGTTCAGATCCTATATAGGGATGGCTGGTGTGCTCACTGGCTGAGCGCGGTTCGGGTGACACCAAGCCAAGGGTTACGATCCCCTTACCAGTCACAAAAACAAATTTTTTTTTTCTTAAATCATGCCATGACATTATTTGTTTTTCAGAAATCCTCTGCTTCGGAGTTGATGTTAGTAGAATATACTATCTCTTTCCTCTGAAATACAAAAGAGGAAAATAAGACTCATTCATCAGTTACAGAGAAAAATATAATAAAAATGAAACAATCTTATAATTAAACATTAGATTATATAGTATAGGGCCTGATTAATACTGAAATTTAAAGAAGACAAGACTCGATATAGGTAGGACTAAAGAAACAGTGTTTCTCTACGCACACAGTATTTCTGACAAACCATATTAAAAAACCAGTTTTCTTCTCTATACTCACACTCAACACAGGATATTGCGGTGTCCAAATGTGTGGCTGTTCTCCCCCCAAAGTCTCCAGCTCTAGGGAAAATTGGATATCCTACAATTTAATCCAATTCTTACACTATCTACCTGGAGTTAACATCAGATCCCACAAGTTAAGGGGCTCAGTCCCACAAGACTGCATCCACTTCAGATCCTAATCACAAGGCTGAGCCTCTCATACTTCTCACTGATCAGCTGTAGACTGAGGATTCCTAAGACCTCCTCCTCAGATTTGGCAATTTGCTCAAATGGCTCACATAACTCAGGGAAACACTTTTCTTACATTTACTAGCCTATTATAAGGGATATAATTCAGAGACAGCTAGATGGAGGAGATGCATGGAGTAAGGTGGGTAGAGGTGGAGGGGCATGGAGCTTCAATGCTCTCTCCATGAATGCTACCCTCCCAGTACCTCTATGTGTTCACCAAGCTGAAAGCTCCTTCAATCTCATTTAAAACATTTTTATAGAGCTTAATCTCCAGCCCTCCCACTCTCCTTCCCAGAGGTTAGTGGGTGGGGCACAAAATACTAGCCTGCTAATTGCTTGGTTTTTCTGGTGGCCAGACCCACTTCTAAGGCTATCTAGGAGTGCCACCCTATTTCACCTCATTAGCATAAACTCACGTGTGACCAAAAGTGGTGCAAGATGAATAACAAAAGACATTCCTATCACTCAGGAAATTCCAAGAGTTTTAGGAGCTCTATGTCAGGAATCAGGGACAAAGACCAAATATAAGAGGGGTTTTCAGAGAGTTTGTGGAAAGATTCACATTATCTTTTAATTCTATTTTTCCATGAACTTTTTGAAGTACCCTCATTCTATCCCAATAAGTGTGGTAAAAGAAAGAATAGCATGGAGACGAAGTGCAAGGTAAAATGAAAGATAAAGATACAATAAAATAAATGATCTGACTAAATGATAATGAGACTAATACAAATGTATATCTTTGTAAAAAACAAGAAAAGTGAAATGGGATCAGATAATAAAGAGCTCTAACAATTAAGCAAACAAATTCAATGTCATATAGCAGGAGATAGCAAACTGAAGTTTTTTATCATAACAGTGACATTAGAAATATCTTTTAGATAAAAATGCCTGTTAATTCCATCAAAGAGGGATAATTAGAGAATAAAGGTCAAATTCAGGAAGGAAGTATAATAAAATGATATGGGCCTGGATTGAAATAATACTAGTAAGAATTCAGTATAGGTGTAAGCCTAAAACACAAAAAGAAACAAAAAAACTATTGACGCAGATTATAGGGAAGGTTAAGAAAACAAGATTCATAGAGATACAATGGTTTCCAACTGAGGTTGAAAGGATATTGGTACTAATGATACAAATATTGGGAAAGGAAGGAGTGGCAACCAGGAAAAATCTGAGATTTTGCCTTTAACAATATTATAGTTAAAGAGATTTAAAGTCAAGCGAAACATTCAAGAGAGGACAGAATGGTTACCAGAGGCTGCAAGGGGACAGGTGGAGGGGACATTGTAGATGAATGGGTATAAAGCTATGCCATCTATCTTAAGCGAATCAATGGACAGTACATGCATGTATTGAAACAACACAGTGTAATCCACAAATATGTACAAATACATGTTTAAAAAAAAGCTAAGTGGGACATTCAAGTGAAGACAGACTATAAGCAGAGGAATCTATGGGGATAGAATACAAATGATATACTTGGGCTGAAAAAAATCACATCAGGGAGTAATGACATGGAAGATTTTTAAAATTCATTTATTTTTTACCTGAAACATATTGATTGTACATACTTATGGGGTACAGAGTTATATTTTAATACACGTATACAATGTGTAATGATCAAATCAGAGTAGTTAGCATATCCATCATCATAAAAATTTATCATTGCTTTCTGACTTGAGTTCCTCTCTTCTAGCCATTTGAGAACATAAAATAAATTATTGTTGGTAATAGATGCCTAGCACTATGTACCCTAGAAGTTATTTTTCCTATCTAGCTGTAATTTTTTTCCATTAACCAACTTCTCACCAGCCACTGCCCCCCAACCCTACCCAGCCACTAGTAACCACAATTCTTCTATTTCTAAAAGTTAAAATAAAAAATATTTTTTCAGCTCCCACATGTGAGTGAGAACTTTTGGTATTTATCTTTCTGTATCTGACTTATTTCACTTAACATAATGTTGGAAGGACTATTTGAAGATATCAGAATGGATGGATTTTTTGACATAAAAAAAAAGTAGAAAATAAACCTTAAAGGCACATGTACATGTGTTAGGAAGTGAAGCTAATGAAAAAGAATTTGAAAAGAGATTAGAACAGAAAATAATGTGATCAGGTCACATAAGCAAAGACAAATATCAAATGCAGGAGAAAGACTGAACACAGAAAGGACTAAGAACACATTGCCACTGAGAAAGAATTCAAGAGTCTCTAAAAAATAATTTTAGTATAAGAGTAGAAGATAAGAATCTAATTCAAAGATTACATGAGAATAGAAATTGAGGCTGTTAGCTACAAATTTGAAAAAGTTGGTAATGGAATGAAAAAATAAACATTGAATTACTGTTGGCAACATGTCCTTTAAAAAGAAAGAAAAAATTCTGAATGTCTGATAGTAGAAGTAAAGGAGCTGATGAACAGGGAGAGACGAAATCATGAAATAGTCATTAAATCAAGTTCCTAAAACAAATGAAAAAGAATGAAATCTATGGTACAGAATGGAGAGATTGACTAACAATGTAAGAGGGCCATCTCTTCCCCTGAGATCAGAGATGTGTGAGAAGATGGATAAAGGTACGTAGAAATCACAGAGGACCCTAAACAATATTTCCAAAGCTACCTGCTAGTACTGCTATTGTTGCTATTGACACCACAATGGATAGATGAACTGTTATTTACAGGGACTCTTACCTACTTGGTTGTCACTTAGTTATTAATTGATACAGGCAGTGAGCCACTATCCAGTACAGAGTGACCTAATTGCTAGAGTTATGGCATCACCCTCCCCGATAGGCTGTTAACCTTTATTTAGTTTACACTTTTTGCTCAGGATACAAAATCTGCTACAATGAATTGTGGTGAAAGTAGGCAGACACATGCTTTTGTGGCAGCTGTGTGCCAGATACTGTGTCTGGTCACTCTCCTTTAGAAATGAGCTAAGGGCCTGGCAGGTCCTTAGCTTCATGGACTATAAAGTAAGAAAATGCCAATTTTTGTTGGGGGCCTGAAGCTCCACACCCCTTCTTGTGAGACCGCTTCTCCTTGACAATCTGCTCAGATGGCCGTGCTTTACATGATAACTGCCTCGAAATCTTTATGCCAGAAACTGATTGCTCCTGGCTATGCAAGTTAATTTGCAAGTGACCTTTTATCCTTCTCTAGAAACTGTTTAACTATAAACATTCTGGGTGGCAACCTTTACTTTGAATGTCCTGTCTTTGTCTCTCCTCAAGATATTATCATATCTTTACATTCCAGACCCTTTGCAGCATGCCTGCTTTCTCCTATATAAGATGTAACCTAAGAATCAATAAACGAGACTTGATCAGAATACTGTCTTGTCTCCCATCTCTCGCGTCTCTTGTCCCATCCAATTCCCACTCCCCCCTCCAGGTCTGCATTGAATATCCCGCGGGTCGGGACAGTTAACTGATCCTTGTTTAACTATTTTGTGACATTTCTCCATTTTCCTGTGTTATCTATTAATATGGTTCTTCGTACTTAAAAGACAACATCTGATTTAAAAATCTGATATCCTACTCCAAGCAAAGTATGGGCTTGGGTGTTTATGGTGGATCCTGTAATTGCATCATAAGAAGTGAGATAGAGGAATGTTCATGCTTGCAAGGCAACATAATAAGGCTATTGATGGAGTTTGGATTTGTTGTCCCCTCCAAAACTCATGTGGAAATTTGATGTCCAATGTGGCAGTGTGGAAACTGATTGAGTCATGGGGGTGGATCCCTCATGAATGTATTAATGCTCTCCCTGGGGGAGGAGGGGTAGTGAGTGAGTTCTCACTCTATTTGTTCCCGTGAGACCTGATTGTTTAAAGGACCCTGGCACATCCTCTCTTTCTCTCTTGCTTCCTCTATGTGATCTGCTTCTACCTGCTGGCTGCTGCCA